TTTCCCGTGCAATGCAAGTGCCATTACAAAGTCTGAACAATTTTAATCCTACAAAAATAAATAAAAAAAAAATCAACCTCATGAGGTTTTGAAGATTTGGAGTTGCACAAAGAAATCAACCAAGTTTATTTCCTGGAGGAGTACTGAGCTACGGTCTGGGCAAATAAAAGCCCGTGAAAACAATAATCCCAAATTAGCTCAGCAAACGCATAGACAGGTCTGTATTCCCAGCCTGCACCTTCATTTTCAGTCCCAGATTTGCAGCAGGACAGGAGGACACCGAGAGCCCGCCCCAACTCCTGATGAGAAGGTCCCTGCGGGAGGTCTCTCCTCCCCTCCGAGGCCAGGGCCCCAAAGGGTACTTACAGGGTGGAACCGAGAAGTGCACAGGATGGGGACTGCAAGGAACAAATATAATCTTCATTCAAAACCTGCAACTCAAAAATCACTTCTTCTTCCAACAGCATGCAAAGCACTTTTCAATGTTACGTCTCTCCTCCCTGTAAGGTTCACGGTTTTGTTTTTAGTTCAGTTTTGTCATCAACAGGTCCAAAAATTTGATTATCTTCTCATTTGATCCAGATGAAGCTGGTAACTTCCATTTAAGGATCAGTCAGACTGAAAATAAGCCAGGAAACTCCTGTGCTACAGAGCCCCTCCAACCTGTGATGTTCGCAGCTTGTCGGTGTAACGAATGTAAATAAAAATATTCTCTGGTTAAAGAAAAATGCCACATGTGCAAGCGGTGCTAAAGAAGTCTCCCTTTGAGCCCAGTCCACTCTCTTCAAATCAGTTCTTCCCAGTACTTGCATAATTGCAGTTTTAACCTTCAGCACAGGCAGCAGTGAAAGCGAACGGCTGAAACGCTCTTGGAAAGGCACCGCTGGGTCTGCACATCACGTCCGAAGTACGACGGAGAGCCCACAAATCTCTGCAGCTCCTACAGGACTCCCCTTGGCCACCCCCGTCCCGGAGCGCCCGGGGAGCTTGAAAAACACGGGATTTAACACTCAGCCACTTATATATTCCAGTCACCTTCTGTCTTATTTATATGCATGCACAATATCCTGATAAACTAGAAGGGAGGCTGCAGCCATTGCATCTGCATTCCCTTTTATGCTAAGAAAGATAAATTGAGGCTGATTCAGAGGACAGATTTAAGGAACGCAGTATGTTATCGAGACAAGCGCAATCTTCCCAGGGAGCCGTTGTAGTGGGTTGTCTTGAGATCATGCTTTTATTTGTTTGCTAAAATAAATGGACACCACACAAAACTCAATTCATATATGAGACATCTCTTCCAGCCCACTGTACCTTCCTATTTTGCTTAGCCAAAACTGTCGTATTCTATTATTTATTGATAGGACCATCTAATGGCAGACAGAAAATTAAAAATAATAAAAAGCTAATTAAAAACTTCAGTGCTTTCCTTTTAGTCTTCAGTAATCTATGGAACTGAAAGACATTGACATCCAAAGCACATTACAGTTTAAGGGTTTTTCTGTCTGTAATAATCCATGGATACTTTAAATGGATTTTAATACAGACAAAACTAAAGAGATTTTATGGAACAGTAGAAGTATTTAATAAAAAATCAGAATCAGTCAATCATCTTTTTAAGACTAGGTGATAGAATTGATAGCAGGGATAAAAATCCTAATAAATTCTGCTGGAACAGTTCAGAAGGCTGAGACAAAAGTTACCATTTCCTTTTAAATTAACAGTAGGACTTCTCCATAAGGGATGATTTGAAGTACAAATGACCAGAGGAATAAAATACAAACGCTTGAGCTTCCTACATCTCTGTAGACTGCATTTAAAAAAATAAATCCAAAACCACGATCAGCTTTTGTTAGTATCAGTTTACAAATCACAGCTTTCAGAGACCCCGAATCCATTCTCGGAGCGCGCTACTAAGAGTTCTGGGACTCTGGTTCTTGAATTTAGTAATGAAGGCAGATTACCTTAATCTAAGGAGATGCCATGAAATCCTTCAAGTAGATGCAGATAGAGGCTACGCATTTGCCTGCTTTGTTTGGGAGGGGAAGCCCACTGGAGCCCTGCCACAATAATAAAGCGCTCCCTGCACACCAGTTCACACGTGGGGCGAAATCTGAAGTGACATTTCTCAATGAAAGGAGCAGTATTCACTCGTGTGCTCAGCATTTTGATGTCCGCCAAAATCTGGCAAACGTGATTATAGAGATCCAGCAGGCATGCCACAGCTCTATTTAGCCCTCATGGCTCAACGCAGTGCTATGCAAAAAATAAATAAAAACCAACAGGCTGCCTTGGGATGGCATTCTGGGAGTATGATTTCATGCCTATGGCTGGACTCGACACACGTTTTGCAACTCCTCATACAAGGACAGAATATCTGAACCGAAGGGGGCTGCTCTACCCACCCCTGTGGGGTCAGTTCAGCATCCTGCCCCCAAACTATGAGCCAGTGCAGGAACCCTGGGCTTCAGGGACTAGCGATGTTTATTTGTGCTACTCTGCATGGCATTTTAATTAGTAACTGTGCGGATTTAAAACCTTTGAATGGACACACAGGGGCAGTTGTGCAGCCTAGCTTTTGTGTTTCCACTCTCTCAAAAAAATCCTGTTTGAGGACATCAGCAGGGGGTTAATGGAAGCTTTGATAAAGTTCTCCGAAGCCTTTTATTGTTGCTCAACTACAGACCGGACTCTGCTGTCTCTCTGGCTGCTCTCCAATTAATTTAGTCAGCTGCAAAAAACAACTAGAAAATTTAGAAGCCCATCTAAACATTTGGTAGCCACAAACATTCTTGGGCAACATCTCCTTCCACATGAAAATATTTCCTTGCCAATTGTTTAAGGGAAGTGCTCCGACTGGACGGCAAGCTTCACGAATGTGAAATGTCAGTGCACTGCCAGCGAAAGGAAATGCGCAGTTAAATAGTCCAGAGCAGATAAAAGCTGCAGGACCGTATCTTCATCTCTGTCAGTCTGGTAACTATTCATCTGTACCAACATCACTGAGACCAGAATTTGATCCGATTTGATGCCTCCTAAAAGTCAATTTATATAATTGTCCTGGTTTCGGCATATTTATTTATAATTTAAATATGGTCAACCCTACCCAGTCCTGAAATTAAACACCTTTTTCCCCAGGAGGATATGTAACTAACCTCCATTTTCCATAGCAAACCATGAGATCTTTTTAAAAATGGAACCAAACTTTTATTTAAATGCTGCAATTACTTCCTGGCTCTATCTGACATGCAACTTGTCTAAGCTGTTCGCTGAACCCTGAAGCTGGTTATTTACTAAGGATCTTTAGAAAGCACTTTTTTTTTTTTCCTTCCCTTCCGACCAAGACTTGTATCCCCCACCTTGAATACAAATTCATGGAAATGGGTGGTGCAGACAGCTTTGCCAGCAAGCAGGCAGTTGTTATTTTAATTATTATTTCTTTGTGGAAAGCTGTAGTTACCTTAAAATAATAATTTAATCCCTCCCAACAATAGTTTTCCCGGTTTTGTTTTTAAGACGGGAGCACGTATGCTTATAACTACGCATTTATTACAGACCATCAGTTAAAGCCTGTGCAAGAACAGAGCTGTTAATAAGAAACTCCCACTTGCATCTGCCAGCTTGGAGAAGCTCCCTACTCAGAGACATCATCTTACACACGTAATTAAACGTGCAGTAGAAGAAATCTGAAGTGGTCAACACATGACATCTCTGAGGCTCTGAGAAATCTCACGCTCAACACTGAAATTTGCCCATTCAAAAGTGTTCCTAACTGTTTGCTTCCATGCAATTCCCAAATTTCTTGCGCTGGGACCACTTATCATCTTTCTGGATCTCCCACCGTGTTTATATTTGAAAGGTCTGTGGTTTCCCAAAATACATTATTTGGTTTGCTTCAGAAGTCCTCGCGGCAACTCCCTTCGATGTAAATCTTCAGACAGCAAAAGCCAAAACACAACTCCCTCGGAGAAACAAAGCGAGGGGAGGAGGAGGCAGGTCGTTGTCCTGCGCAACCCGGCAGGTCACCTCACCCATTACGGCAGGTGAAACCCTACAACAACTGACAACTTGTCCCAACCCTTCTGCTTGGAAATGTGTGCATGTG